ATCTGACTGCAGACCATTTCCTAAGACTATAATTCGGCCTATATCAACTCCCTAGAGAAAAGGTCAGGAACAGTGAGAATGGTCAGAAGAGTCCATAAAAAGCAGACCAGACAAATAAGAACATATAATTAAAATGTGAAACTGAATACAGTACCTGCGTATGTTGAATGCTATCAACTTTATCTATAGCTTCACTTGGTTTGGATAATATGCCCCGTGAACCTTGAAAATAAAAGTAAAGCACCGACATGTTAAGGTAGGTATAGCAAACACAAACTGAAGAAAAGGAAAAAATTAAAGTTCAATCCTGAAAATACCTGACGAATCTCTGCTTCCTACTTTACCATTATTGTTTTCGACCCCACTTGGGAAAGACGAACTTGAAGTGGCCACTCTTTCATCAACATCTCCAGATCTTTTAGCAGCTCCATTTCCAATTTCTTGATCTTTTTGGGGTTTTTCAGCACAGGTGGCAACATCTTTATTAGCAAGATCACCATCCTTCAAATTTTCTTTCCCTGAAGAATCCCTATTCAACAAACCAGTCTCACCATGCTTGGAGACCCCAGATGAAGCATGCACATCTCCATTGGTAGCAAATTTTAGTTGCCTAGAAACCAAACTTATCGCATCAGAACTCTCATTAGCCTCCCCACTGGTAAATGCACGCTGATGCTGGGTTTCTACAACATCTTCAACAGAATCTGACCCCTTGGCCCTGGGTGCAACATCAAGCATCAGCTCCAAAAAATTAGCCCAGAGCTTCAGAACTTTACCAGTCTGCTCTTTTGTAGAACATATCTCCTCACAAGAAAATTGGACTAGTTTGAACAGGTCTTCATGAATAGCTCTGTCGAGATAGTCATACTCGAGGTGAGGAATTATCGGTTGCCTGTAACCAGCAGAAATAGACAGAACAACATCGTCTTCTTTCTGAGACTTCTCTTTCAAGTCCTTGACTTCAGACACCAGCGCTGGTATTTAACCAAGGATTAAAAAAAAACAGAATTATGAGAACAAGAAAGTAAATGCAAGAATAGATCCATGACAGATGGTTGTAAGCAATTATAGGTGAGGACAAGTCCTCTGATGGACTGAGCACATTCCAAGAGTTTACTTACCTTTTGCACTCAAATTCTTAGAATCTTGCTGCTTAAAATAGAAGCTGCGGTGATCAAGTGATTTGTAATGGTTTTTCGCATACACATCCGCCCAGACCACATTAAAACCTTCACGGCATTTTGTCCATTCATCTTGTTTCTGCTTCAATCGAGTTAGAATTACAGGAAGTGCAGCAGCTGGATTCTTACGTATTAAGTCTGTCACGTCAAGACCATGGTCTCCATAAAGTCTCTCTATGCACCTTAGATTTAGTGCTGTATTAAGTCAATAAGAAAATGGAAAGTGTTAGCTTAAAAGATGATGGCTTAAAGATATGGTAAGCGAGGTGGGACGGAGAGAACTACAATCACTAATATAGGTCCCTGGAAAATAAATGCCCACATACCTGTGAAATGGTCTTCAATCCGGAAGGAGCCCTCAAAACTTATTTTCTTATCAATGATAATATTCAACAATTCTTCTGCACTTTTGGCAGCAGATCCCACAGATTCCAACAGCATGTCCAACTCAAATCTGTAAGAAGAAGCAAGTAAACAATCTTAACATACAAATTACTTAAAGACTACAAAAGCTATCAAATGTGTAATACTTTTTGTAAACGAACCTATCATCTTCACATCTAAACAAGCTTTCTTCATATTGGTTCCTGCGCATGTGCTTAAAAGAGTAGTCTTCACTTCCTGAAGTGACAGAAACCCAGTGATCATTTAACACAGCAGCTCCTGATTTCTGTCTGTGGCGCACAGACGGGATTGGATACTGCAAATAAGATCTAATATAAGTACAATTAAAATGTCACTGTATGCAATATAGAACTCTGAAAATCTTATTACATCTGGAGGGAGAAGCCGGTAGCTAGGAGTGCAACGCTCACAATCAGATAGATCAAGCTCTTGAATAGATTTCCCCATGTACTTGTCCTTGGATCGCTCTTTTTCATTAGCAGCCTCAACGTCACGTTTGTGTTCTCTATCTTTTTCCTCCCCCTTCACTGATCTAGATAAATTTTCTTCACTACCAAGTGATTCTGCAGCAAGTGTACCAGGCAGTGTTATTTCTATTCCTATAACGTACGAAAAAAAAGAGAAAAGTATACTCATAGACAAGAAGCTAGGAGACTGCTGCCTACTTTTGCTCATAACACCAGCAAGGTGCTGGAAACCATCTGCACAAAAAGGATGATGATCAGAAACAGCTAGATAACTTATTAAGTAAAACGACAGTATGCAATCTTATATACCAATACTCTCACAACGCTCAAAGAACTGATTGAACTCATCCATGAGATCAGGGAATTTTCCAAGCACATCGGAAACCTGGATGAAAGAAAGTAACGTAAGGACAAAATTTTACCCCTATAAGTATCAACACATGCAGACCTACCAAATTCTGCAGATCTTTCCTTTGGATAATTCCATTGCTAAACATATTGAGACACTTCAAGAATGCTTGATAATCATCTTGGCTGCATAATCTCTCCTTGACTTTCTCACAAAACAAAAATGCTTGGTTGTACATGCCTAACACAATAAAAGGACATACAAAAAATATGATATTGTAAGTATCAGAAAACAGAAAAGACTGGTTGCACTTGAACATACCTGTTGACTAGAAAATTAGAAAACTGAAATTGTGGAGCCTTAAAAACAGAAAAGTTGTTGGTTCTCCATATAAATAAAAGTCGCTTACTTTTTAGATTGTTTTTCTCAGAATGTGAAGCAGGACCAGAATAAGCTTCAAACCCCTCCATTCTTCTCGAGGACTTCCTTTTCTCTGAAAAATGTTGCAAGTTATCTTGCTCTGCTTCTCCATCTTCCAAATCACGGCTTCTCCTTTCTCTATTATCCTTATCAACACGTTTCCTCTGATCTCTGTGCATCTTAACCATTGATTTATCATCATTAAGGTCAGAACGGTCAACACTGTGATCACGATCACCCCGAGAAGCAACAGTTCTTTCTCGTCGGCGATCCTGATGATGAAAAATGTATCAGCACAGAAAAGAGAGTCCTGAAAACAATATAGTAGAACCAGGAAGAAACGTAACCGATACCATACCTTCTCCATAAACATTCGACGCACAAGAGGAGGGCCTGATCCCCGGTCATCATACCGTTGGGCTTGACTACGAAGTAACTGGGCTTCTGTATGAGGCGCCAACGAGTCTGGTAAAAACCTAGTGAACTCTTCAAGCAAATCCGAGTGGTCCTCAAAAAGAGTAGACACCTAAATAAACAGATATTAGAGGTATAAAATATCGAGAATTATCGACGTGAAAGTATACGAGAGATATAATCACTTCAATGTGACATTACCTCATTGTAAACCTCAGTGATGTCCTTATTATCCTTCCGATACATATTTAAGATTTCCAGAAACGACTTATAGACAAGTTCATTGTGCTGGAACCGTGTCTGCAGTGATGCAAAAGAAACTGATACAATGAGATACTAGGTGTAGAGGACACTTCAAAGATAAGGACATACATACGAGAAGAGAACTTCTTGACCTTAATTTTATTAACAAAGCTTATGGCTTCTTCAAATTCAACAGTTTTCTTTGAAGGAGCTTCTACATCATCAAGCGTTATTTCAAACCCCTTAGGCAAAAAGGTGTTAAACCCGAAAATCAAATTGTTATGCCCCTTAAACAGCTCCTTCACTCGTGAAATCACACCAGATGTATCAGTCCTGTAAATGCAAGATGAAGAATTGTTCCCAGAGGCTTCAAAAATTCAATCGATCTGATAGGAAAGAAATTAAAGATCTTACTTTTGTGCCTTAAAGTCTTTCATAACCTCAAGGAACATATCATATTTGTCTCGCTGATCTTGAAACATCTCCTTTACTTCCTTTAAGTAGGTCAAAGCATCATCGGTAGTCAATTTCTGAGTGTTGATTCCCCCTTCACCAATGCTCCCTCCTCCAGTGATTGGAGATTGCTCATATCTGCACCAAACAAACTCTAATCACTTAGTAACTTTCATGCAAACAAGCTATAATGTCTCATCGCCAGAAATTTTAAATTTTCGAAGTCTGACGAAAAGGGAAACTCACGATTCGCCACGAGAAGAGCCCAAAGGACGTTTAAATTGAGACCCGGTTGCGTAAATATCATCCCTAATTCGCTTCATTGCTGCTCTGAGTAAAACAAACAAGAAAGATCATCGATTAGAGAAGAGAAATGAAGAAATTTGAAGGTAAACCCAAAATCCCAATTTAGAAACTCCATTACTGAGCATCTAAAAAAGGAAAATTCAGATGAAGTTGATAAAACCTACTTTCTCGTTCTCCAGATTTCCCAGAGATATAACTCCGGGAAGAGATTAATCAGATCTCTCGAGTAAGAGCGGAATCGATAAGAAACACTTCCGATCAAATTCCGGCGAAAACTTCAAATTTCCCGAATTGTGCCAAACCCCAAGAACAATTCCGATGAGAACAGAGTGGAATTCAGAAGAAGATTAAAAAACAAATGAGAGAGAAATGTTTTGAATTGGAGTTGCTACGACTGAGAAGCAAGAGAGAGAAAGTAATTTTCGAATAATGAAGAAGAAGAAGAAACGAGGACGGAATTTGCCTATGAGGTCTCTCCCGGCACCTTCTTTAGAATTGTTTCAGCGAGACCAAATTATTATTATTTCCTTTTTTCTATTTTTGGGCCGTTAAAATTTATAATGGGCTTAATAAAAGGCCCTGATTATTAGGCCCATTAAATAAATTCGTAAGGTAATTAGGGTTTTGCTTCATCATATTCGCCGAGGAAGATATATAAAGAGGAAACAGATAACATTACTCAGAGATATCGATCTAAGCTTGCTACATCTTCTTATATACTTCTGCAGTTTTTAGTGTTTTTGAAATTCGGATTTTTTGTTTGGATCAGTTGATGAGCAAATACTGCAACAATATGATGGAGAAATCTTTATGATTCTTAGTATTTAAGTCTCTGATGATCTTATTTGTTTTTATATTTCCTCTCTTCTCCTTTTAGATCTTGCACATAGTCGTCCCTTTTTCTGAACAGAGATGTGATGAGTAACAAATTGGTCCGTGTTTCTGATTAACCGTGACTGAGAATTTATTAACCAAACTCTGATCTCAATAAGTTTTATTATTTGAATCTTCAAATCTTGGTTTTGTATTAGAAAAACAATGAGAACTCTTTGGTTTTTGGCTCTGTGATTGCTTCGCCTTATTGGCAATATACGCTATTCTGAAATCAGAGTATGAAAGATAAACAAACTGTACTTTATGAGAGCCCAATCGAATAGTTATTTTGAAACTTCTGCTGTGATGATCTTTTGAATAAAATTCACATGTCAGACTTCAGAGATCTTTTGATCTATGAGAAAAAACATTCATAATTCTGAGCAGAAGTAACAACACAACGTGTTTCTCCAATACTAAAAATAACCAATTGTAACTTGTAGTAGAGCTAAGAAGATATTAAAAAAAAAGTCGAACAGAGAGCTAATTTGATATATCCGTCTCATTCAAATTCTAGCTTCTTGATCCTTAATCCTCATCCTCATCGTCAAGAGTAATTTCAAACCCATGTGGCAAGAATTTGTTAAATACGAGAATTAAATGGTTATGTCCCTTTAACAGCTCTTTGACTCGTGCAATCACGACAGAAGTATCGGTCCTGATAAAATGCAAGATGAAGAATGGGTTCAGAGGCTAAATATGATACTTAATGAAACAAAACAAAAAGATGTTATACCTTTGTGCCTTGAAGTCGCTCATAATCTCGAGAAACAGATGGTATTTGTACTTTTGATCATGAAACACGTCCTTTATTTCCTTTAAGTAGGCCAAAGCATCATCGGTTGTCAAAGCATCTTTGGTGTTACCGTTTCCAGGTTTTGGAGATTGCCCTTGTCTGCGTCAAAAACAACCCCACGATCATCAACACAATACTTCAAGATTACGATACTAACCAAAGTCTTTTGCTAAAAAGCAACTAGATTAAAAGATTTGAAATAGCATAAATGCGAAACCCTCTGTGTGCTCATCGCTAAGATTGAAAATGGAACTAACAATTCGTTTCGAGGGGAGCCCACTGGATGTTGATTTTGAGACCCAGAACCGTCGATTTCTTTATCTCCAATCCGCTTCATCCCTGATTGAAGAATTATGGGGGAAAAAGTTATTGCAAGCAGAAGAGAAACAAAGAATCACGATGAAGTTTAGAGAGACTCACTTTCGGAGAAGATCTGAAACAAATCACTCAGATCTTTCAAGTGAGAGCAAAATCGAGCAGAATCACTTCGATCAGCGACGATTCTATGCAAATCAGAACAAGAGTGTTGCGATGACAAATAGAACAAATTGCGCCTATTAAAACCGTCCGTTTGCAACTTCTTTGGGCCTATATCCCATTATCAGCCGAAGTAAGGCCCATTAAAGTATTTATTAGGATTTTATTTCTTTCTTTTTTGTAACCATTTATTTTTATTTTTATTTTTATTTTTGTAACCAAATTTATGTGAACGTAAAGAAAATATAAGAGGTCATACTTTATTGCAGTGAAACGTTCCCTCATGCATGGATTACAAAGAAACATATTTGATAATAAACCACCAAAAACTGAACATAGAGATTAGTTAAGAGATTTTGATGGTATCATTGGTGTCATGACCATGATAGGAAATTTCAATAGTCTTATGCGGTGGAGCTAGTAGAGGCTTCTGCGTCACCATGAAGAAATATCTTATCTCCAAGTGACAAAAAGGTGTTAAAGCCGATAATCAAATGTTTGTGCTTCTTAAACAACTTCTTCAATCGTGCATACAATATAGAACGATCAATCCTGTAAATGCAAGAAATTATATAAGCAAATCTCATCAAAACCTTAAAGCTAAACCAAAAGTAAATTATAAAACCAGTCAAGATCTTACCGTTGTGCCTTAAAATCGAACAAAACCTTACGGAACATAGCATATTTGTCCCTTTCATCATGATCAATAAACGTATTTTTCACTTGCTGAAGGTATGCCCGAGCATCACTAATGGTCATCCCTAAAGAAGGATCTAGATATATAGATCTTTCTATATTCCCTCCATGCCTGCACCAAAACCAAAAGACCAATATAGAGACAGAAATATAACATGTTCATACACATTCATAAAATAAAGGAACCACACAATTCGTCCACAAGCCAAAAGAAGAACTCAGAGATCAGTCGCATGTTTTTTCAGATAAAATTTTTATCTTTCAAACAAGTAACAAGCAACAAGTAGGTCAAATTCTTCATCATTATATATGCGTTTAAACAACCAACGATTATCAACACACTTCACGATTAGGAAACTAACCTTGGAGACCTTGGCACGACTATTTCATCAGGAGTCCGCTCCGTTTCTTCATGACTAATCAAAACATCAACAATTAGAGAGATTCTACAGGGAAAAGTAAAAAACAGTTAACGCTTTCTATAATAAAAAAAAAGATATGAAACAAATCAATCAGATCTTTGAAGTGAGAGCATAATCGAGAATAAGAAACACTTCAATCACCGAAGATTATGCATACGTTATGAAATATCCAGGCATTTCCGATAAAGCGTTGCGACTTGTGATGAGAATAGTGCAAAAATCAGGAATGACGAACGAGATATAAATAAAGGCGCCAAATGGTGCCATCTCTTCGTAACTTATTTGGGCCTATAATAAATAATGGGCTTTTATAGGCCGTAGTTAGGCCTTATTTAAGTATTCATCTCGCTATTCTTCTTTTCTTTGTTTTAATATTTGACTTTTTGGATATTTTTGGTTACAGTTGATCAGCAAATACAGCAACAATATGATGGAGAGAAATCTTTGTGATTTTTAGTATTTGTAACATCATACTGTAGAACCAATGTGATCATAGTGTAAGGCTATATATATAAAGAGGCCTTTTTTCATCCCTGAAGTTCTGTAGAATATGCTCTCTCTTTTATTTGACAGCTAAAAAATAAACATTAATAAAAAGGAATAAAATCGTTTTCACTTTTTTTTTGAATTGTTATTGTATCAGTTGATGAGAAAATACTGCAACGATATGATGAAGAAATTCTTAATGATTTTTAGTATTTGTAACAATCAAACTATGATCTCAATATGATCTCAATATAGTTCTTTTTTCAATCTATGATTTTAACTTCTCGTTAGAATATTACAAATTTCATATGTACTTCAGTTTTTTTTTTTTTCATTAAGAATAAAAAATAATAAGTAGATAATAATGCTTTTGCCGAAGGTCAAATTAAGTAAATAAAGAAATTAAGTGGACGTAAAGAAGATAGCAAAAGGTCAAACTTTATCATAGTGAAATTCCTACATGCATGGCAAAGCAAAGATACTCGATAAACCATCAAGAACTGAATAGAGAGACTAATTTAGAGATTTTGATCGTATCATTTGAGTAGAAAAAATATGACAAGATAATTTCAATAGTTTCTTGCAGTCGAGCTAAAAGAGTCTTCTACGTCATCATCAAGAGCTATCTTGTATCCAGTTGGCAAAAAGGTGTTAAATCCGATAATCAATTCGTTGTGCTCCTTGAACAACTCTTTCAATTGAGCAAACGCAGTATGACGACCAATCCTGTGAATGCAAGAAATTCTTTGAGCAAACTCATCAAAACCTTAAGGCTAAACCAAAAAAAAAAAAAAAGCAATCATCTTACCTTCGTGCCTTCAAATCTAACAAAATATTCTTGAACATATCATATTTTTCAATTTGATCATGAAACGTATCTTTCACTTCCATAAAGTATGCCCTACATTCAGCCATAATGTCTCTTCTTCTTCCATGCCTGCACCAAAACCCAAAGAACAATAGAGACAGACATTATAACATGTTCCTACACATTCACGTAATAAAGAAAACTAACAATTCGCCCACAAGCCAAAAGAGGAATTCAGAGAGTCGCAAGTTTTGAAAGTTTACAGTTATCTTTAGACAAGCAACAAGTAGACCAAAAACAACCCACGATCGCACCAACACACTTAAAGATTAGGAAACTAACCTTCGAGACCTTGGAACGTTTATTGCATCAGGAGTCCGCTCCATAGCTGTCGGGATAAACAAAAGATAAACAATTAGAGAGGTTACTTGGAAAGATATGAAACAAATCAATCAGATCTTTGAAGCGAGAGCAGAATCTAGAAGAAGAAACACTTCCATCACCGACGATTATACATACATGTACCAGAAAATGTTCTAGGCAGATACGATTAAGCGTTGCGACTTGTGATGAGAAGAGACCCAAATCACAACGCATGACAAACAAATTATAAATAAAGGCGCCAAATGGTGCCGTACGTTTCTCTTCGTAACGTCGTTGGGCCTAAATTAATAATGGGCTTTTATAGGTCGAGGTTAGGCCTTATTGTAAGTATTCATCTGCATTTCTTCTTTGTTTTATATTTACTAATATGGATATTTTGTTACAGTTTCAGTTGATGAGCAAATACTGCCACAATTGGTCCGTATATGAAACCGTGACTGAGAATTTTAGACCAAACTCTGTTCTCAATTGTTTATTTGTCAGTATTCGATATGGATTCTTGTTAGAAATATAAATATATTTTTGCTTCTGCTATTTTTGTGACATTTTAATGAAATATATATTTAATGTTATGTGACAGCTTTGAATGAGAGCCATTATATATATTTTTGTGACATTTTACTATGTTCATTTGATAAGCTTCTTGCTTCTGCTATGATGATTTTTTGAATAAATTTTACATGTCAGACTTTTAGAGGTTTTTGTTTATCATTAAGAATCTTTGATAATAAAAAATCAGAGCAGAAGTAATATAATCTTGACTTCTTGAGTAATATAATATTTCCAAAACATTTGATAAATCAAATTCAAACCAAATCTTTGCCACCAGTCAGTCACATGGAATGAGTAGTGACCATCAATAGGCCCTCATGTAATTTGCACTTAGTCACATGGGTGTATATCTATAAATTTAAAACAACAATATCAATGTGAGTTATTGAATCATGTATCAAATTAATTCAAAAGCAATAATATCAATGAAACACCTATATGTTAGTCACAATAGTCAGGTAACTTCATCATGCAAACAATAAAAAGGACATGACTAATATGTGACAAACCTATAAAATTGGTATCAAGTTGGAAAAGGCCAAACTTTAGGTCGGCAATAGAAGACAAATTCCAATAATCAATGATCTTTCCCGAAATTTCTGCACTTTCTCAAATGAAGAAAGTCCAAAAAGATCTCTATACAACCATATCAAAGTATCGGATAATCAATACAGTTCATTTGTGTGAAAAACCACGTAACCATCTCTATGACAAAACTCTAATTTGCCATTACCGGCATTGCCGTGGTCTGAAATTCTCAGTAGATAACAAATAAGTTATGAGTTTCTCGATCCGTTTAGCTCCAAGACCAGGTTTAATAACCGACGTATCACCAATCACCGCACACGGATCGCTCCCGTTTTCCCTCGTACCAATACACCAACCACCCGGAGTGACCATCCCGTGACTCCGAAACAATAGTTCCGAATCAATCTTATCGAGAACAGGCTCATCTCTACGGAATTTCCTAGCAAAAGGAGCGTTACTGTCCACCATTCTCTGGAAATCATCTAATGTAAGATGGTGAGGATGTTGCTTTGGAGGATTGTCCCATGAGATGAAATGTAAGTCACTGTTAACCGTTGTGTTGGTAAACTCTCGAGCATTGCAAATCACAGTGTGGAAGTAACCTTCTGGCGATGAAAGGAAGTTTGCGTAATACATTAACACAATTCGAGGAAGATTATCCCATCCCCATATGAAATAATCCACAAAAGGTCTAGATAACATCATCCACGCAGATCCTATTAACCAACAACATCAAAAAACCATTAGAGCCTAAGAATTGTTATATCACATCAATGAGTGTAACAAGGATCCTACATTTAAGGAAGACTCTACATTTAGACATTCCCATTATGTTGATTACCCAAAACAGGAAAGATTATGAAAAATGAAAGCACCTGTGAAGAGTTTGAAAGCTGTAGGCATACTTCTCTTCTGTGAAACCCAGAAAACATCAGCTTTCTTTGACATATACAAACCAGGATCAATAATTATAGGCTTTGCTCTATGAGACCTATACAAGTTTTTACCAAAATTATCAGAGAAAGTTGTCAAAAACAAACTGTTGTAGATTGTAATGTAGCTTGCTAAACTCACTCTTTCCAGCCAATGTTGCTTGTATGATCGATGAAATTGAGATCTCGAGGAAGATACGAAAACGTATGCAACAGATCTGAAAATCGAATCGACATAATAAACCTCAAATGATTCAATTAAAACAATAAACAGAGTCTGAGATTATAAGATCTAAATTTCGTTACCATCTTGTGTTACGAGAGGATAATCAGAGGCACTGAGATTGATGAACCAATCCCAATCACCACCTTCACGAAGCAAAATCGCTGCAGCGTGAAGTGTATTAGCCACCATAGTTGGACCACGATACGTAACGAAATTAGCCTTAACAATCATCCGAACATTTTGAAATCTCTGAAACAGAGTATGATTCGCCACAAAACCACTGAGATCCAATCGTTCCTCCGGTGAAGATTCCCGATCGAGATGAACAACGTACTGGTTGTTGGGATGATAAAGCGCCATTAGAGTTCGTTTCAGCATCTGACCGTCACCAGAGGAGCCGGAGATTAGATAAGCGAGACGTGGCGGCGGAGGAGGAGAGACGGAGACGGTGAGTGAGACGGATACTGGATTTATCTTGGATTCGACGAAGACGGAGGATCTAAATCCGTAAACTGAAAATGGAATCAAACGAGTTTGACCAGAAGAAGAAGCTAAGTTCGTTAGCAACAAGAGAAACAGAGAACAAATGGATCCGATTGCTAATGGAAGAATCCATTTTCGGTCAAGAGATTGTTGCTGGTTACGAACTTGCATGTAATAGCTTTTCAATTTCTTCATATTCGAAGCTTCATCAATTTTTAACAGCTCTTAGATGGATTCTTCTTCAGTGGTTTGTGGCTTAGAGAGACTTGAGAGTGAAGTGTACGAATTACGAAATGGAGAAGATGAATGAAGGAATTGGTGTGTTTTTGTTTGTTTGTTGGTCTGTTCTTTTCGTATGTTCGATATCTTTATATTACAAAAAAAAATGTTTCACGGTATTTTTGTAATTTTTACTTTTTTCTTCTAAATTTTATCCGATTTATGTATGTTTTGACAATGATTTAATATTCATTATACAGTATCATGTGTTATTTATCTGATAGTTTAAGTACATTTTATCCCAGTCAAAGTTTCAATTTCTGAAGAAAATATATTGTTTGAATAATAGTAAATGGTCATTTCAAATCTTCTAATTCTTTTTAGTAAGTATATAATGGTTGCTTAAGAAACGATACACTTTTTTAGGAGTAGTATGGAAAGGGTTTAAATTAATGAAGAGCATTTAACCGGTCTTCCAAGTTTATTCTTTCCCATTTTAAGTTATTGACTGTTGAATGACTTTTGTCAGACTATTAGGCTGACTAATCAGCACTGTAATGCTAATCCCTTAAACACGCAAGGATTAATGGGCTTTAAATCTATGAAAGCCCGAATTGAAACACTTTAAGCCCACATACAAAATATCAACTAAAGGGGATGGATGAGTCAAAATGTCGAACAAACCAAAGGCCTCTATCGGCCTTTACATGATTAATTCCCAAAGACCCAAACTAAGAGATTGATTTTCTTAATTTGTGCAAGTAATTAGCGTTACACACTGAACCGATTTTTTTTCTCTCGATAATAATGTACAGACCTATTTAAAGTCTATAATGTTAAAACGAATCCAGAAAGTCTAAACTGTATTTTACTTTTCGTATAGTAATTTTTTTTTTGTTATCTACATATTGAAAATGGGAGAAAAGCCTACAAGAGAATGTAGAGTAGTAAAAGAATTTTTACGAGAGAGTAAGTACGACGAAAAAAAAAAGAGAGAGTAAGTACAAAAGATATTCTTCTCTATCGAGACTAGTTCATCCCCAAAGTGGAAAGATCTACGGAAATGGGAAGTCATCATCCTTGGTCATAGATTGATATGCACTGTTAATTAAAAACAAAAGAAACAGCATTAGTAGGATGGTATCGTGTAATTATAAATAATAATAAAATGCGTAAGCCATTTTAGGCCAAAAGCATAGCTTATTGGTCCCACGTATTCTTCCTTTAAATGTATACTATATAGTATACGGTCTATTAATCTTTAGACTAGTCACTAAAGTCATAACTAATCAAATAAATGTTAACTACTACATTAAAAAAACTTTGGCAAGCACTACCAACTGTGAAAAAAAAAAAGTTCTTTCAAGTTATAGAACGACATAAACACGGAATCAAGAATAAACAAGGAGATATTTTTGTTTATGCCATTGTATTAAATATTTAAAGTTATGCGTAGTTTTAATCATATAATGTAACAGTTTTTGATCCTAAAAAAAATCATAAAATTAAATAGTGCAAGTAATGAAATGAGGAAATCGGAAAACGTACCACTTGTGGCGGGAAACTTGAGCTTCCAAGAGAGACATAATTTCCTCATCAGTAAAGAATTCACGAAACACTCTCTCGATATCGTTGTTACGAGGAGCACCACCTAGTTGTTCTTGTTCCAACGCTTCAAGATTAACGTCATTTTCGTTGGCATTTGCATGGGAAAGATTCGAACCAACCTTTTACCAAAAAAAAAAAAAAAAAGATTCGAACCAAGATTAACGGCCTAGTCTCAGTCACACACTCCTCGTGTACGAAATTACCACAATACCCTCCGCCGCTCAAGAATTCGATCGTGCCATCGTCGTTGTTTGCGGTGAGGTTTCGAAAAGGATTTACGGCGGAGGAGGGATCTAAGAAGTTGTTAGCGGCGGAATTAAAGAAGCTGGCGGCGGTGGGATTGAAGAAAGCGGCGGTGATTTGATCACGGGTGCGACGTAGTTCAGCGGTGACGAGTGCGATTTGGGTTCGAAGATGGAAAATGTATTCGTGACAGCCACCGACGGGCCGGGGAATTGAGAGCGTATGTTGGATTCGTATATGATCGAGCTCATTGCTTCTCTTTGTTCCTCCGGAGACAATCCTAATTCTTTGAGCTTTTTTTGGAGACGGGTATTGGAATGTAGACGATGAAAGTTTTGGAACTCTTGATGTCGCTCCGCCGGAAAGTAAGGACGAAAGAAACAGTCCGGTGTGCAACGACGGCGTTGGTGCCTGCAAGCGGCGCATTGGTTGACATAACCGCCGTTATTTACGCCGGAAGAGCCTTGCAATGTCATCAAGATGATGACTGATCTGATGTGAGAATCAAGAAGAAAATGAGTTTGTTAGGCATCGTCGCCGATTTTGTTATAGTTTTTTTTTTCTGTAGAGTGGGAAAAAAGAAAGATTGAAACGAGTATTTATAGAGAACAGAGTGAAGCAAGAAGAATTATAAGAGATAGATTTGATAATTATAAAGAATTAAAAAGCTTCTCTAATAACAAATGTCGTTATAGCTCGGTTTAATTCTGTTTTTTTTTCCAGATTATAAACCCCACTTCAAGTCGTTTTGTTTAACTAATTAGTGGACGAACCATGAGTCAACAATATTTTAGAATTTGGCTTTAACCAACAGACAATATTTCTTCAACATTTGCTCTTTCAGTCATTTGATTGGATAACAATATCTTTGATAGGCTACACACATGGACCATTTCGATTACTTGAAAATTTAAAACGCGTTCTATTGACCTTCTCATTAGGCATTGTGAATTTAC